AAATAGAGAAATGGTGAATTGGCATTAGCACCAATAGTTGAAATTAAAATGCACGTCTTGACGTCAATCTCTTTAGCCAGTTTTGCCGCGTCGTAATTGATTCCATAATCAATAGCGCGAAATTGTTCAGCTGATCCTGCTGTAGCTCTCGTGGTTCCAAATGATGAAATATAGGCTTGCGGTGCTTGAGTTTTTACATCATTTTGGATGATGCTGGGCCATTTCATGGTGTCGGTTTCAACGATAGCATCGATGTTGTTTTTATCGATGCTGTTATGCGGTAATACTGCTGTCTTATTCATGAGCTATAGTAGTTGATGGTGTTGAAGATGCGTACTAATAATAGTGCAATGAAACTATGTGCAAAAGTGAGTTATAGTAATTAGTAGCATTTCCAGTTTAATAAAAAGGTTTATTCAATCTGTTTAACCCGTCTTCTTCTGGTCTATCACATTTTGCATGAACAATTACCAGAGGAGTTGTGTTAAAGTTTAGTACGTAGTGAACAGATAGAAAATAAAAGTTTAAAAATAGCTCAATTTGCATATCAGTTCATAGTCTGTAGTGGCTTCAATTTAAGTCCATATTTCATATGTAATTGTAATTACTCTATTGCAAAAAAGTGCTTTCGCAGCCAATACCGATCTGGACAAGGGGGTCACGGGGGAGAGAGACCTCCGCTTCTGTGTGCAGGAACAGCCAGTATCCCCCCTCCCCCCACTTTGATCTGATAAGAAACTGTAATTTTATTTCAACTGACATCGGAACCAAACCGATGGTGATATTTTGGTGAAAACCAGCTTCAACAGGCTCGGTTATCGTTCTTTATGCGTCACCACCTCTGAAAGTCATCTAGTGGAGAAGGTTCCCCTCATCGTTCACCAATACTCCGAGAATTTTTTTTTTATTTTTTTCAACAAGAAGTATAAACAATGACGCAAGTGACCAAAAAGGTTTTGCACCCAATTTATATCCACCAATTCTCATCTACATCAAAGTGAACCAATAGGTTGTAGAGGATTTACGTTCTAATCTTGTGCAATGTCCCCACCATCAAAACGTGACAATGAGTTGACTCAGCCAAAGAAAAAGAAACGATCACTCGGCCATTTTCCATGTCGACATTGTGACAAGGTGTTTACTCGTTCTGACCATTTGGCCAGACATAATCTCAATCATGAACCAAAGGAAGTCTACACCTGTGATTTCCAAATTGAATCTAATGGGAAGGTCCAACTTTGTGGTAAAAGATTTGTTAGAAAGGATTTAAAAGAACGTCACCTCAAAAGGCATTACGAGTTACAAGAGCTTGATGCGATGAGCAGCCAGGGTCAGGGTGTACAGAACCGCCCAGCTTCATCGGGAAATGAATCGGTACCTGAGATACCCACCCAACCATTCCAACAGCCTTCGCTCCCCTCGTCTATGGCATCCCCTCAGTACCCGTTGACAACCAACTTGCCAGCCAACATGCTACCTAACCAATTTGATTTAGACTCGTTGCGAAACAACGGCACTACATTGCCACAAAATGACATTTTAACCTGGCTATTTGAGATTCCCCAGTTTGACAACAACTTGCCGAGAGATGACTCGTATCATCACCAAAATATGCACCACAATGTTTCCCAGCAATTTGCACCTCCGCCGCCACCGTTGGGAACACTTGAGGACCAACTCGTTACTGCGTTTGATTACAATGTGTTCCCTAACGAAAATAACCCGTTGGATGATCTAGTATCGAGACAAATGCAAATGAAGGAAGACCAGGTGCGTAAACTATCACAGGTTAGTGATAGCATGCCAACATATCTGACAATCACCACAAATTCGTCTCCTACCACCATTGACACGAGTGGAGGACAGGAGCCTCAAGTATTAGATGATGATGGCACTATTGGCTTTGATGTTTTGGAAATTACCAACTTACTTGGGTTGAGTATGGAGCAGGTACTGGAGATTTGCCATACAAAACGCTTGTCAACTTACTTTACAAACTTTTGGACTACATTTCACCCGCAATTCAACTTTATGCACGGTCCCTCGTTTGATCTCAAGGCATATCCACTTCTATTAACCTCCATGATTATCGTGGGTGCCCTGTGTTTCAATAGCGGCGAAAGAACAGAGCATATGATAGCGCAACTATTCGCTGAAGAATTGCGCTATGCCATTTTCAAGCACGAAGATTTTCTTTTTCTGAGGCCATGGATTATACAAGCATTGAATTTACTCGAGTGGGTTGAAAAAAACTTTCTCTCGAGGAAATTCCACCAACGAGGACATGTTCATCACGGTGCTACTGTGCAGCTTCTACGAAGGAGTCCAATGATGGGTGGTAACCCCTCGGCTATAAAGAAAACAGCCAGTAATGCTACAACCTCAGCTGAGGAGAGTGATTCTAACTTGGAAGAAGAGATCAACACTGACAATGATCTTTATATACGATGGGTTGAATCTGAATCAATGAGACGCATTACATTCATGACATTTTATTTCGACATCACTGACTATGTTAAATTTAGACATAATCCGCACATTGAATTCAGTCAGCTCCAATTGTTGAATCTCCCTTGTGATGAGCGCCTTTGGGGAGCTACATCAATCAATGGGTCGTTTAAGAAGTTGGCCAAGCTTCAGAAAAAGTTACATTGCACTCAAAAGACTTTTTTAACAGGGTTGAGGGAGCTTTTGAGAGGACAGTATCAGGAGTTGAAGGCTTATCCCATTTTCACGCAAAAGATACTTTTAGCGGGGTTGGTATCTTTAATGTTTCTGCAAAGTGAGATGAACAACTCGTTGTTTAGACACAACTCCAATAAATCGTGGAAGGAAAATGTAATGACCACGTTTGAATCTTGTCTTGATATGGTGCTGAAACTTGAACATAGAACCCTATATCGACCCTTTGATGTGTTTTATCTAGCCCGAATTATGGCATGTGACGTCAACCACTATGATCTTGCTATATTTGCCGGTGCTCCTGCCAATCAAAGTGTTGCTGCTACAAAGAAAGACAAGAGGGTAGTCGAACGCAAGATGAAGAATGTGTGGTCACACAAAAGAAGCCTCGATTGCGTTGTTCAAAGTTACAAGTTCTTGTGGGATGTCTTATTAGGAGAAGATGATTGGGATGCGAATAAAAGTAGCGACTGTTCATTCACCCTAAGCCATGCCATGTTGATGTTGTGGTCCTATTGTTTCGTGGTGTATGGCAAAGAAAGCTCATTGTACCGTGAATTCCCCAAAGATACCACCTATGCCCAAATGGTGGAGTTGAGTGCTGAAGATGGCTATAACTACTTGGCCAGAACAAGAGACGAATTTTACAAAAGTGGCAGTAAATTATCATCAATTTCAAACAAGCAAAACATTTCCGGGTTGTGCTTTTTAGTTGGAGCAAAATTAAGAACAAGCAATTGGGAAGTTATGCGAGAATCTGCAAAACTCGTTTTCAATTGCGGGTTTAGGTCTATTGGGAAGGAAACTGTGTTATGTTTAGACCTCTTTGATAATTAAATCGACCTCAGAATAATCAATTTCATGTGGTAGCTTTATTCTCTTTTTTGGATTTTCTTTTTTTTTTTGTAGCGATGAGAGAGATGAGAACATAGACGATTTTTCACAACCAAGAACAACAGTAAAAGGCCATTGCAAGCATGGACATCCACCGTTGTCGTTTTGTTGACTACACGCCACATACTATAACTTCCCTAGCATTTTCATGTCCATCATCACCAGAACAACTGGCGCCATCTGACTTGCGTTTGGCAGTGGGGAGAAGCAATGGAGATATTGAAATATGGAATCCGAGACACAACTGGATTCATGAGTTGACATTGTCTGGATCAAAGGGGAGATCTATCGAAGGTTTGGTATGGAGCAACTCAGACACCTCGAACAATGGAAATGAACCCAGTCGATTGTTTTCCATTGGTGGGTCAACTTATATCACTGAATGGGATTTGAAGACGGGACGGCCCTTGGTGAATTACGATTGTAATGCCGGTACCATTTGGTCGATCGATGTGAATTCTACAGGAGATAAGTTGGCTGTAGGCTGCGATGACGGTTCTGTTGTTGTAGTAGACATATCTGGCGGTGTTGGGTCATTAGAATATGATGTCATTTGCCAGAGACAAGATGCAAGAGTGTTGAGCATGCAATGGAATGGAAATGAGCAGATTATTGGAGGATGTGCCGACGGAAGAATAAGGGTGTGGAGTTATGGCAAGGACACCAAGGGTAGAATCTTGAGTACAATGAGAGTTGACAAATCCAAAACTGAGAGTACATTGGTGTGGACCTTGAACGTGTTGCCAAAGAAGAATCAACTTGTAAGTGGTGACTCAACAGGACATATTAAAATATGGGACTTGAAATTCTTTTCATTGATGCAAAGCTTTAAAATTCACGATGCTGATGTACTTTGCATCGCGAGTGATGCGAAAGAAGAGCGGTTCTTCTCGGCTGGTATCGATAGAAAAATCCATCAGTATGATTTGTTGTCTAGCAAATCCAGTTCTAAATGGGTGCATAGCTTCAATCGTTTGTTACATTCAAATGATATCAGATCAATGGCGATAATGGAGAGCAAAAGCTTTAAAGTTTTAGTCAGTGGTGGAGTTGAAAAGGCAATTACAATACAGCCCATTGAGAATTTCCAAGACTCTAAATACAAGAAGTTGTTGGTGAATCAACAAATCAGCAATGTTTTGGTAGTACCCGAGCAAAAGCTTGTAATTCTATATCAAGATCAAATTGTTAAAATATGGAAGATATTGAGTAACGGAAAGCATAAATTGATTTCGAAATTGATCCTATCCGATGATGAGAACATTACAAGTGTTGATTTCAGGGGCAACTTGTTAGCAGTTGCCAAGATGACTTCAGTCAAGATTTACGATTTGGACGCAGTTGACATTGAGAATGATAAATATATGATTAATAAAATCAGAGATGAGAATTTTGATTCGATGGTATCAGGAGCAAAGAAAGTCAAATTTGTAACCGATTCAAATTTGCTCATATTGACTCCTGACGAAGAGTTGTATCAGTTTGCCATTGATGCTGAAAATAGTCAAATATCCCTCGAGGACCAAGTCGAATTACTAGACAACGATTCATCATCATCATCATCTTCCAATGTATCGTACAGTGACAACATTAAAAATCTTGTCCTCACACCCAATCACAAAAGCATAGTCATATCAAGGTTTAATGGAGCTATAGAGGTGTACCCATTAAACGGTGGTGGTGGTGATCCTTTTACCCTTACAAAATTGTCAAATTCGGCATCGTGTCCCCACTTGATAACATGTCGAAATGACGACCAACTTTTAGTCTTAACAAATGACAACAAGATACTAGAATTCAACTTGTTCAATCGCGATCAATTATTAACCTCTTGGTCAAAACGCAATAGTGAATTTTTACCACGACAATTCACATCTCTTGATGACAAACCTGAAGGAATGTTTGTTAAAGACGAGAAATTGTGGGTATATGGAACGTCATGGATGTGTTATTTTGACTTGACTAAAAACATCCCAATTAGCAAATTGTACAAGAATATAAGCGCCGGTAAAAAGAGGAAACGTGATGGGATGTTAAGTCTTGATGATGATGTAGACATTAATGGTGACGTTGTCCAATTGGAGTCGAGCTTGAAGCAGAGTGAGATTGGCAAACTCAAGAAACAGATTAAAGAAGAAGAGGAGGATGGAAACGATGGTGAAGCTGCTGACGAAGGTGATGGCGAAGATGACGTCCACATGCAAGAGGGCGAGTCCAGAGTATTTTCATTGACGGAAAAGTATAGACCAATCATGCAAGTTGCCGAGTTTGGACCTCATGAGTTGTTAATTGTTGAAAGACCATACTTTGCATTGCCAACTACACCTGCTTTCAACTTGCCAAAATTGAGGATATAAATACAACTGTGTATGCGCTATACATATATATATATATATATTGTATCATAATTTCGCTTTGCCCTAATCGATCTTGGGAACTACTCTAGCCCCTTGAAAAAATATTCTGGCGGCAGCTCCATATCCCATAAGGCACTTTTGTGGATTGCCTTGATCATCTTTATCCTCTCCTTTCAATCCCCACCCCTTCGAATCGCCGAACCAATCGTGATACTTGGCATCGTAAACTTCTTTGTAGGTAAAGTTGGGTTCAAAGCTCTGCAAGTACATTCCATCTTTGGGATCCTTGATAAACTCGTAAAATATAATCAAGTGTCGTTTAATTTCTTCATGAATTTGTTGCGCCAAGCCCTCAGGGACATCTTTTGGATCAACGTACAACAAGTAATCAGCAAGACCTTCAATTAGCAATTGGACAAAATACGAAGAGTCACGCCAGTATCTCTTGTCATCGGGGAAATCACGGTCGTAAAAGTATGCATTGCGATGGATACCTCCTTTAGCCAAATCAGTGGCAATTTGCAACCACTTCTTGTCCTTGGTGATGTGATACAACTCGGCAGCCGCTGATAAAGTGGTACCAGTGTTGTAACTTATTTTGGTGTCATCAACCTTGTCACTATCTTGCTGAACACCGTCTTCGATTAACTTATCCAGAGGATCTTGCAACACCTTGATTTGCCAATCGATGCACTTCGCCGCAAAATCAACATACACTTGACTCTCTTGCGGCACAAATTTTGAAAGTTGCAAACATGCCTTGGCCACCTCAGCAGTAGTACAAGCATTCAAATATTCCTTCGAAATATGCCAATGCACACCACCCTTTGTCACTGCTTTTGGGTTATCATTCCAACCACCCATCAAAAACCTAACCAATTCTCTTCCTTGGTCTAAGTACTTTTTATCACCAGTCACTTCATATGCAGTGATAATGGCGCTAGCCACTTGCGCATCATCATCATAGTAGATATCCTTGTCACCACCCTCGGCTGCGGAATACCCCTTAAGATTGTTGTTCTTGTATTTTTGAAATATATCAACTGCCGGTCCAATCAACGGCTTGAATTCATCGGGGTATATTCGAGCAGCGTCAACCACGGCCTGGACACCAACAGATACAGCCCACACAACAAATTTAGTATCACTGTAGCAACCGCTACACTTCTTTTTCGCAACAAAGGTCTTTTCGTGTGAGTTGTAGTATTCTAACCACATGGCTCTGGTTATATGGTACCCTTCCAAGTTTGGGTTTTCAAGTTTTGGGAAAGAAGACATTGTGGAGAGCTCTCAATTGAAGTTGAATGATGGTTGGGACGTGCTATAGACTGGTTAGAAAGGTTTAGGAGATCAATGTCGATATTTATATATGGCAATGTGAGTAGCGTAGTTGTTTAGTGGTAGTAGTAGTGATAGTAGGTCACACTTTAAGGTTAGAAAATAGCCAACGTGGATTCCATAAAAATGCTAAGAATATATTTGCATTCCTGCATGTAAAGCTTTTGTTATCTTTTTATGATTGCGGTTGAAAAATATATATATACATATATATAATTGTCGGCAGTGGTTATTATGACGTATTTCGTAAAATATATTTCACAGTGCAACACTCTTGAAACAGTAATAGAAGTATTTAATTGAAACATTATTATACAAGCGATACTTAAATCCGAAATAGCGAATTGAATCCAGGGACCCACATCAGTAGGCATTAATTTCTCTCCATATACTTACTCTTTAGCATTTTCTGGTTTCCTAGCGACGTACAACATCATTGGAGTGAACAATTTTTGGCGACCACCTTCAACCAAGTTGACTGCAGCATCTTCCAAAGCATGAGTGACTTGTTTCGAACCCTTTGGTGCAATACCGACTTTTTCCATCAATCCAACAGCTTCAGTAGTTATCAATCTACCAAGTCTTGAAGTTCTAAACACTGTGTACAAATCACCCAATGATTGGCAGTATTTCAAATCACCAGCCAATGGGTAGTACCAGGGAATGTCGTCATTAACGTCAGCCAAATCCTTTTCATATTCAACTTCAAAACCAACATTCTTCAAAGCTTGCTCGGCAACTTCACGGCTGTACATCTTTGGGATACCATCACCAACCTCGATACCATAGGCAATCTTACGATGTTCTTCGTTTGTTTCGTCGTACTTGTCAGTCATGACCCACTCGTAAACACCAAAAACTCCACCTGGTTTCAAAACCTTGTAGATTTCGGAATAGACACCTTCCAAAACAGGAGCGTGGACAGTAGCTTCAATAGCGTAGACAGCATCAAAAGTTTCTGGTTCAAAATCCATTTGCATAAAGTCACCCTTGACGTAGGACAATTTGTCATCCAAGTTGTATTTTTTAGCATAGTAATTAGCCCTCTCGATTTGGTAGTCGTTGTTGTTTAAACCAACAATTTCACAGTCGGTAAATCTGGTGATTTCTCTACCTGGTCCACCAACACCACATCCGACATCCAAAACTTTCATGTTTTCGTTCAAGTTCATTTTGTAAGCCAAGTAATGTTCGTGTCTAGCAGTGGCTTGTCTAAAAGCTTCACCCTTGTAGTATCTAGAAAAGTGGAAAGAAGAACCCCAACCGTACTCGTAAAAGTCAGTCACCAAATTGTAGTAGTGATGGGTTAATTGCGAATAGTCTCCTAACCTCTTAGATTCATCCTCTTTGGTGACACCACCGTCCCAATGTTTAAAGTATCCTTCACTGGCAACTGAAGCAGCATCTTTGGATTTGGCAATTAATGCAGCCAATCCAGTCTTTTTGTAGGATTCACCATGTAAGGCCTTGGTGAATTTTTCATCTCTATCAAAGTTTTTCTCAGCTAATTGAACTGGTGACATGTTGACTGAATATTTGTATATGTATATATGTGGTGGCTAAATGCTACTTCTGAACAAACCTAAACACCAACTCTGTAAATAAATGTTGGAAAGATAACCAAGGGGAGGGAGGATAAAGAAGATTTTATAGGAAGATTTGGGAAAGACAACAAAAAAAAAAAATAAAAAATTAGACGTGGTTTGTCTGTAAACGATGAAAAATAAAAAAAAAGAAAAACAACTAAACAACTAAACATAGACATTACACAAACATGGTACGAGATGATGTACAGTTGATATATCCAAAACCAAAGGGGTATTACTTCTCATTACTTTATCGTTCTAAGTAAATAAGCCACTGTTTAGCCCAGCATCATTCATGAATAGGAGGATATCCCAATAATTTCGTTTACCTTATTGGATCTAAGTTCACATATACTGAAATACGCGTTGCAAACTCATAGATACCCTCATCAATGAGTGTAAATGAGATAAAGGGGAGCTAAGACTATTGTAACTTTATAGTTCCAATCCCATCCAATAGTTGGTTCAAATCTCGATCCGATCACGCGCAAACGCTGCTTTAAAGCTACCAGACACTTAATATTAAAGGCGCTGCTCTTACTTTTCAACAAAACTATCTATCCAATAGTTTTTGTGTAAAGAGATTTGAAACATATTACTTTTTTTTTTCATCGTTCCCTTCTTCTTTTTCTTCTTCTTCTTCTTCTTCTTTTTCTTGTGTTTCTTCCTCTACTCTATTTGTCTCTCGTTTAAAACTAATAAACCGTAAAACTTTTCTATACGACAGAGGGAGAAATAACGTCTTTAGATTTAAAAGCCCAATAATCAATCTCATCTACAATATAGTGCCTATACAAAACTAGTTAGTACTCTCTAATCAAACATCTCTAGCTCTATTGCAAGGATGATTGCCTACTTTTTCAAGTTACATCTAATAACTACCGACAGTCACATCCGAGTGATATTACGCTTCTCCTCTCCTCCACCCCCTACCTTGACTCTCCTAGATACGATTGAACTACTCAGTTTGAGTGAATCCCTCTGCAAGTTTATTCATACTATTAAATCGTACTTTACAGCACACTCTCTTTATAGCACACTTTTAGAATTTAGAAAGCTTCAGTGTCGCAAAGTGATGTCAATTTTCTGCCAACTTGCGTCACTGTCTGCCATTTTTGTTTTGTTTTGTTTTGTTTTTTGTTTATGTTTTTTCTTTGATGCGTAAACAATGATCTCAAAGTACAAGCTAAGCAGTGTTCAAAGACGTGTTCAACAGCTATTCATCGATCAATCCGTGGAGCAGAGGAAATTCCCGTAGTAGTCAGTCTACTCTCTTTTTGACTCAAGCATCATACAGCAAAGAAGCACATTCCAACAAAACCTTGACTTACGATTTACGTTCTCCACAACCACAACTACAATGTCCGTTGACAACCCACCTAAACCAACTCTTGTGTCAATCAAGAAAATCACTGATCCAAAAGACTTGGATACAAGTATGATGCATATATTCAACGATTGTCAATTTTCAATGGCAGGGCATAAAAAGCTACTTGTCCTCATGAGATCTGTATTCAATAGAGCTCTAGAGCTCAGCTTGTTGGACTATTTTGCCTTGAGGTTCACTCAGTTACTAAATCACACTTTAAAGTTTAAAAAAGGTGAGCCAAATGCTGATAGAGTTGCCAAATTTGTTGCCCATTTTGTACGGTCAGGAGCAGAGGAGACCGCCAAAATAGAGGAGTTGCACAAGGAGGAGGAGCAAGGAAATAATGATGACGAAACAATCAACTATTCAAAGGAGGAGCTTGCTAAAATTGAAGCAAATATAGAGTTTGTGTCCTACTTGATAAAACATCTTTTGCGCGGAATTGAAGCGTCTAACAAGCTGGTTCGATATAGAGTTGTTCAGCTATTTGCATTGATTATAAAGTACATGGGAGATATTGATGCTGACATATTCCAGGTGTTAATCATATCATTGTATAAAAGGTTGAATGACCGTGAAGTTCCAATCCGAATGCAGGCCGTCATTGCTTTATCCAGTTTCCAGTATTTTGATATCAATTTTGACGAAGAGGATGATTTGGATGCGGCTGAGGTTGAGGTTGACGGAAAGCTATCCACGAGTAAAGTCACAAACGATTCCATAATCGAATGGCTAATGACGTGCTTGCAACTCGACGATAGTGCCGAAGTTAGGCGTACGGCAATGTTAAATACAGAAAAGAGCAAGACTACTATTAACTTGCTTTTGGAAAGAGTCAAGGACCTTAACAGCATCAATAGGAGAATTGTCTTTTCAAAAATCACTCCCGAATTAGGTGGAATGAGTAATTTGAAAACAAAGCATAGAGAAATATTATTACAATATGGACTCAATGATAGAGATAAAAGTGTTGCAGAAGCTGCAATTAAACTATTATGCAATTCATGGTTTGATTCATGTGATGGTGACTTGAACAAGTTTCTTGAATTGATGAATGTGACACGGAGTCAAATAGCCGAAAAGGCAATGTCAACCTTGTTCACTTCCCGACCCGAAGTTGTTCAAAGTATAGAAATCACCCCAGAATTTTGGAAATCTCTAACCATTGAGAGTTCATTTTTGATGAGGTCAATTTTTGCCCACTGCAATGAACATAGGCTTTACAAGGTCATTGAGACAAACTTTCCTGATCCATTGGAGTTGGCTGATACGTTGAGGAAGTACTTGCAAATGCTAGATAGCATTAAGCAAAAGAACCTTGAGGCCCACAAGTTGTATGATGGGTATATAAAGGAAATCAGTGAGATTGAGAATGTAATGTTTGAGTGTGACAATAAAATGGCAGCTATCAATCTTAAACTTCATGCTTGCGTCAAGAAGTTGCAAGTGCTAGATAGTGCTGAGGAAGTACTAGGCGAGTCGAGAAAAGCCAAGTCACAGCGTCGTAAAGAACAACAGGCAGAAAAACAGCGACTTCAATCTGAGATTAGCCATTTGGAGCAAGAGTTTAAAGAGCATGGGGAAGAGTACAAGAAATGCTTTGAAATGAAGGCGATCAAATTGAATCGTCTCAGAGCGAATAGAGGCGAGTTTGAAGATTATGTCGACATGAGGAAGGATTTGAAATTTATTGCCAAGCAACTACTCATAATTTGCATCGACTTTGATTTCAGCGATGAAGTTGGTAGGAGGGCTATGTTGAATGTGATAAGAACTCAGCTACATGAAGACAATAATTTTGAGCAAGATGATGTCATCAACAAAGCTAACAATCAGGGCGATGATATCGTTGTCAATGCCTTAAAGGTGTTGCGTAAAATATCAATCAATGTGAAGGACTTTGTAGCCATGACGGTAGAAATAATAACTGATATCAGAGACTCGACAGAGGAAACAGAAACAGAGGATGTGTACCATTCAGCAGCAAATACATTTGACGGTGGTAAAATTGGTGCGCTGGCTAAAAGAAACAGTGAGAACTTTAACAAGGATGAGACTGGTGAGGAAAATGGAAATGCTGACCCGTCACTATCAGATGATTCTGATTTAGATTTGGATGACTCTGATGATGAGAGAGAAGGCACTCACAAGAAAAGGAAAACGGGGCCCTCTGTCCCCAATGACGATATCTTACTTCGATGCTTGAAGCTAACAAAACACTCACTCGAGCTCATTGACGATAATCTAGATCACCATCTTTCACTTCGATCGATTTACTCCGGATTGGTGAATTACGCATTGACTAGAACATCCAATCGAGAACTATACTTGACAGCACTCGAATGTTTGGGGTTGTATTCACTCATTGACGAGCCAATAGCCAAGGAAGCCCTAGTGACGTTTTTCAATACAACCAAAACCTCTGGCGAAGAGGTTAAATTAATTTGTATGACCGGAATAATCGATATCATATCCACTTTTGGAATAAACATCATTGCTCGCGAGAGGAGGTTTGGATTTCTCAGGCTATTTTATAAGGCCCTTTCTGATGATAGTCCGAGATTGAGAGCACTTATGGGTGAAGGTATAAGTAAGTTGTTTTTGGCCGATATCTTTATGATAAAAACTGTGAATGAAGTTGTTAGTGAAAAGGAAGCACAGAAAGAGAGTGGTGCTGACGTGATAGGTAATAATATTGAAGATGAAGTGGAAAATGCAGAGGAAGATGATGAAGACAACGAACTGGAAAAGGAGTTGTTTGTTGCCTTATTGTTGAGCTATTTCAACTCATCTGCCGCAGGATCATCAAACAACCATGAATTGAAGCAAGTCTTGGCATTCTGCATCCCCGTTTATTGTTTTTCCCATCCAAATCACCAGTTAGGCTTAGCTAGCGTCCTGGGTGACTTGTTATTAAAAGCGCTGGAAACGACTAATTTGAAGCCAGGTAAGATTCTTCCTCAGTTGATCGATTGGACAAACCCTCAAAATCTTGCACAGGTAAAGAGTTCTAATGGTCGAGATTTGGTATCTCGTCAATGGTCACATATATGGCAGGCATTGTACATTATAGAGGTATTTGAGATTAAAGAATTGGGCAAAGAGTATAGAAGAGCCATTATCAATAACTTGGCCAGGATTCAGATTTCAATATTTGAGCGAGATGATGATGCTAATGATTCACAATATTTGCTTGATATTACTGCATTGTTGCAGAAATTAGTTGATGAAATTGATCGCATGAAGGAAATCTTGGATATGTACAAGGATGATTTCGATTATCAAATGGACCGACTTACGATGAAGAACCTACAAACTTTCCATGATTCAACATTGGATAAACTAGATATTGTAAAGAAAAAGCAAGAAGATTTGGAAAAGTATAGAAACAGGTCACTGAGAAACTCGGTCAGTCCTAATGGATTTAGAAGTAGGAATAATTCCGTGTTATTGACTGATGAAGCGGTCATTGTTGGCGAGGAGAGGCAGGCTAGTAGCACACCAACGAAAGTGAAACTAGAGCCAAGGGATTTAGTGGATACAAATGATGCGATGGATTTAAGCAAAGATGATATAGATAATAATGAGGAAGGCTTGCTGAAGTATGTTGATGAAGATGGGGGGGATGTTGATGTTATCATGCAAGGAACGGACGATGAGGTGGAATCGATGTCTTCTAACAGAAGCAATGCGAACGATTCAAAAGAAGAAGAAGATGCCTCTGATTATGAAAAGAAGCAAACAGGCAAGAAAAAGAAGCAAAAGCCAAAGGAATTGAATGTTGGGTCTGCATCAATCATCAAAACCAAACAAGGTGTACCCAATCGTCAAAGGACATTTGAAGAATTTATGGAAGGTGCATCCGATATTGACCTTGATGAAGATCTGGATGATAATTCAGATGAAGATTCGGATGAAGATTCGGAGTAATGCTTTACGGTGAAATAGTCAATAGCCATTCACTTTATAGTTTATTATATAAATTCCTCAAAATTAAATACATATCAAATTAAAAAAAAAAATCAAAACAAAAGCACGTACCAGTAAAACCACTAGTTTCAATTTAAATTAAAGAAAAAGAAAAAAAAAGCCATTCCCAAATCAGTTCACTCTCACCCACGCTTTGCTCAATAAGCATCACTCTTTTCCTTCTTCATGCTCCCTTCCAATAACTGGTTCACATCATCTGAATTTATCACTACTCCTCTCTCTGAACACTTGGCTTTATTCTTCATCTCATTACATAATCCATCAATATCAATTTCAGTATACTTGGGATGGGCCGTGATTCTATCCCAAATTTCACTGCACTTCATTGTGGCTCTTGGTGCTGGAACAATCTCGTCACTGCTACTATCATCCTCGTTGACTGCTTCTTCCTTGTGGGTGTTTGTCGAAGGCGTGATTGCTTCACCACTTTGGTTCAGAACTGAATTTCTATTGATATCAGTTATTGAATTCTTGATAAAGTCATTGAAATTGAAATCAGTATTGACTTCATCCTTGTTCAATGGATCATACATGGACTCTTCGGTAGTTAATAAATCAGCCACTTCTCTATCTCCATCGCCATTATTTGGGTTTCCAAACGCTAGTGAAACGTCAAAATTGTTATCATTGAGAAAACTCAACGGATCATCTGAATCTTTATACTTGTTGTCAACTAAATTGAAATCGAAATCAGTTGTATTCAAATTGAACAATTCATTATCATTGTATTCATTGCCATCGCCTATATTCAGTTCTGTTGAGAATTTTGGATACGTAGGCGACATTAGTGAAAAAGGTGAATCAAATCGCGTGGATTCGGTCGTCGTCGTTGTCTTCAGTTGATTATGAGTATTGGGTATCGATCTTCTAGATTTTGGCACAGGGTCCTTCCTGGTACCGCATGCTTCGCCTAATTTGACACAGAATGGATCAAGTTCTTCTTCAAAGTTACGCATGAAATTCAAGCTAGTGTCGTTGTTTTTGGCAGCAGCAGTGGCAGCAACATCAGTCACCCCACCTGGGGTTACAAGAATATTGTCGTTCAATGGTGTGGTTGATGACGAGGAGCCCGACACTAAATCTGGGACTGTATTGTCGTTATTCTGCTGATTACCTTGATATTGTTGTTGCTGCTGTTGTTTCATAAGCTTTAAATTGTCCTTTGACCAAGGGACACCGAATGAGTAGTTGGGTGAATTGTTCGATATCGACGAGTTTGTTGATGCCTTGTCTGAAACAGATCCTTTGGAAGTTGATGAAGAGCTATCGTTATTTTCTTGAGGTGACAGACTAACATTGCTTGATTTAGAGTTGGGATGGCTTAAATGACCCACCGTTTTGGGAAGATTTAAATCCAGGAAATCGGTCGAACCTCTATATTTGACCAACTCACTCTTTAAGATATTTACTTGCGCTTTTAAAAAATCTGTTTCGGTCATTGCTTTCACATTTTCATCTTCTAATAATTTGACCTTGTCCTCCAACTCTTTCATCTTGCGCTCTTTCCTTTCCCTGTATGCTCTTTGAGCTGCTCTATTTTGGGCTGTCCTTTTCGATTTGGGTTCAGTATCGATCGGTTTTCTACCTGGTTTGGTATGGAGTTTCTTCAAGTCATTCTCCTCATCACCGGGTGATTGTGGTGAGTAGTCCATCACATCTGAGAAATTACGTTTAATGTCTGTCATTTTGAGGGTCGCTTTTGAAAAGTGTATTCAGCTATTGCGAGATTCGGAATTACAAAAAGGTACGGAAAACTCTGAATATGCCTACCCCGTTCTTTGAATGAAAGATAGTAGCTTTGCTTTGCAGTGGCTTCGGTTGAATATATGCTAATACTACCTGCTATGATTTAATACCTATGCCTTGGTTTTCTCAAGAGTGGTAAAGAATGAATGAGTTGTGAATAAATTCAAAATATCCTCAGTTGAAATTGAAATTCAATTATTGCAATGACTGTTTCGTTGCGTTTGAATTTCTTTTTGGTTGTCCAACTAAAACATGTTTATGTACAGTACTTTTACCACTCTCTCATAGTTAACAATTAGTAAGCAAAACTTTGTAAATGTACACGACCAAAAATAAACTTCTAGGCCACGGCTTTTGAACAAAAAGAACAAAGAAATATATATAACGATGGGTTTTTATCTGATCCCAGTACTTGGTAATCTCTGGAGTTTGTGTGACTCATTAGTGAAGTTGCATTACATTCAGCACGTGCACAAAACACCGGTCCGCTCTTCCTCTGAACTTGACATTAAACATAACGCTTATGCTCGTATCTCTTTCCATTTATGGTAAATTATTGTCAAAGTCACGTGACTTCAAAGAGTTGACCAAGTCTTATCCCAGAACCCAGATTCTTCCACTATTTGAAAGTGGTAATAATAAGAAACAATAAGTCTCAAAGGTTAAACGCAGTGTAACATTTGGGTGTATTTTAATTTTTTTCTAACTTGTAGACAAAATTTGGCTGCAAAATTGAGCAAACATAAAAGCTTAAGGTCAAATGATCCCACAAAATAACCTTTGAAGAATCGCTTGATCTATAGACACAACAAAATATAAGTCGTTCCAATATCCCAGATTGAACAGTTTGTAACGTATCTATTTCTACAAGCTAAACCTCCAATTTCGTATATTTTCTTTTATGATGGTAGCGACATCAAAGCACTTGGTAGTGTGCAAGATTATGCATTGGGAAATTTTTCACTTACTGAAACTCTGATTGACCTCTTACCTTTAAATCATTATATGCCAATCAATGTCATTGCCAAACATAGGTACGTTAAAATTGAATATATCATTTGTTAAAGAACTCAACTAACTATCACCCGTTTCCTAGATGAACTAAATATCAAACAAAATGACACTGATCTAATTGATATAACCCAGGATGTTTTCGCCTCAGTACAACAGTTGAAAGAAAATAAAGTGGTCAAATCAGGCTTATTTGAACTTCTTGATGGAACGAGGGCATTGGAGATGCTAAATCCAAGACACGATACTGGATTGATAGAACTTGCAGAGGATGACGTATTGTTTGATTGTTCAAAGTCTCAAACTGCAACATCAATTGTCAATATTCAAACTAAATTGCTTGTACAACTAGTAAATTGGTTAGAGGGCCATAGCCTTGATGAAACTATACTTAGTTGTCGTTATGTTCAAACAATGCTAGAGAATTACTTTCAGGATCCGAGTCTGATCAATCACAAATGTGCATTTAGTCAAACAAAGTTGAAACCCCAGAGCTATACCAAAGATACAGATTACTGGTTAGTCCACAGAGTACTAAAAGCATTTGTAAAAGGGTTGTGCAAGTTCATTGGGTTTGTCATCAACTTGGCCAAGACCTTTTTATATGAAGAGGAAGATTTGACGACAAGAAGTCACGATTTAAACTATTTTACAGAAGTACTGCCCCAAACTGTCATTGATGAAATTAACGATACTTTTGAATGGATATTGAGCCATGAAGTAGACAGTTCGGATATTATCATTAGTCAGATGAAGTTGGTGCAATATTTAAATCAATTTGAGATCAAAGTCACATCACAACATATACCATTTATGGAGGAGAATAGTCTGAACCAGGGACAGTTATTTTCCTTTTGCGATGATGCAGTGAATGAAATAAATCATATCAGACAGTTCAATTTGGAAGAGTCGAATATTCCCAAGGGGGCTTTTTCCAAATTTATCCAGGTTGAAATGGGTAATATAAATGTGCCTGTTGAATTAGCTTCCGTTACCGAGACTGAGTACTGCAATCACTTGGAGGCGATTTTTACGGTTGTCAAAACATACGTTAACCAAGCAGCTGGTATCAAATCAATGAATCAATTACATGATTATTTGCAATTTAACATCAAATACCCTATTGGTAAATTTTCAGTCTTTGCCAGAGGTTTGTTTCAGCTATTCTTTATCAGAGACGATAAATCAATTTTTGGCTCTGCCATAGATTTACCCAATTTAAACATTAAGATAATTGAGAATTTGGTTGGTCCAAACACTCTGTTCTTGATGCCTCTTGAGCCTCAATTGGCGCAGGTTAAAAGTACCACAGCAACAGAAATTCTAACCAAACATGATTCACTCATTCAGGATTTGGACAGTGCTATGTATAACAACCATTGCATATATGGGGCCAACCCATGTCGAGTGCAGCAACTAATCTCAAGAAGTTTGGTGTTGTGGGACACGTTACAAGTCGAATGGGAAGCGTTTGAACTCCAAATGTTTCAGGAATTTCAAGTCGGAGACCATATTAATGACAACAACCCGGCAATTTCTATCACCTCATTTGTATACTATCAAAAAATTGAATTGATGATTGAATTGTTGCTTGGGGGTGCTTGTTTGGAGCTTTACAAACCGTTTGAGTTATACCTGGTCTATTGGTATGGTTATATACTATTAGAGAACTTGATCCAACATTTGAAACTGCGCATTAAAATGATCCTCTTGGGAAAAATGGATGTTATAGAGGAGAAGTTACCTAAAAAGATTAAAAAGTTGAAGAACGGGCCCAAGAAGGACGCATTGAAGGAGCAATTAAAACACGGACAAGAGGTTATTATACCAAAGTTACTATCCACCGTTCGTTACCAAGACTACCTTGTGGAATCGTTTGAGAATTTACAACGGCTAATCAATTGTTTTACAAGGTATTATGGTGTTCTTTCTAAATTAAAGATACTTGATTTTACCAAGGGTCCATTGAATAAATTGACCTCAATGGAGCATCTATACTATCTAAGAATGAAACCATGGTCTTCAATTGGTGTGCCACAGTTCCCATCCTATGGAGAATACCAAAAGGCACTTGTGGCAACACACCCCGAAACTGATAACCGTGCTAGTTTGATCAAATGTTTGGGAACATTGACTAAAATAAAGAGCGATTTGGTGATTGTTGAAAAACAAGCGCAGATGCTGTTGGACTATGCTATTCGTCAAAGCGATTCTTTTATAGAAGGTTCCTTGATTCAACAGTGGTACACCCAATTAATTGAAACCTCATTGGATTTAGGTGTTGTAATCAGTGACTTGGGCAAGGTCTTGTCGGCAAATAAGGAGAACTTATCGCAAATCCCTCAAAAGTATCATCCACTGATGGTACCAGCCAAACACAAGTACTTTATCCAAGTGAAATTGGAGGCAAATGAACACTGAAGTTTTTTAGTTTATAATTTTGTTTATCGTTTGCTCAAGTTCCTTTGATTGTTCCAAAAGTTGAGGATGATTATTCTTATAGACAGTTTCCACATCTTGCAAGATTTTATCCGTAGACTCTTTGACTGCTTGTAGAGTTGCTCTTAATTTGCGTAAGTTACTCAATTCTTTTCCATAATCATTTTCCATATTTGGGTTATATTGTATGGTTATATTCCTTATGGAAGATGTATGTTTTACATGTTTTATGTATTTTATGTGTTTTTTTTGGTCAAATGTACACGCAACCAATCAAATAAAATTAAATTTTGTATTACTTAAAATATTTCATCTAGAGGGAGAGAGAGAGATAGTTTTTAAAGCAAAGGTATATATACAAACACATACACACACAGGTACACATAGATTACGACTGATATCCTTCAAATAGTTCAATCATGTCGACATCCATATTCCGTTTTGCCAAAAATATATACAGGTCAGGCTTAAGAAGGGCAGGATGGCAATTACAAGTACACAACGATGTCAAGAGCGGTACCTTGGTAGGAACTGATGATCACGGCAACAAATATTACGAAACTGATGCACCAGAAGAACCTATATTAAGAACCAGATGGGTTGAATATAGCGACTGGTCACCTGACATGTCTCAGGTTGAGCCAGGTTGGCATTACTGGTTGGGTTATGGATCAAATACTCCACCAAACAAGTTGCAAGGTGACGAGAAAACTACGAGAGCTTATCCATTACCGGCTCATCACAAGCCTAATATGACCAATTCACCTGGTGCTTATGTCTGTTATAATACTGCTAAGCCAAAATGCCAAAGTTGGAGTCCTGAAGTGAAGGAAAGAACTGGCGAGAGAGTTGGAGAAAGAGTATAGACTGTATTTCGTTTCTTGGGTTGCAATATAAGTCAGGTGCATTTTTATGTAACATTTTCAATACTGCCTTTAGATGGAGGATGGTTTCGTAGAAGAATTGCTAGGTTTTGGGAAGAAAGTGAGGATATCGTACAAAGTTCAGATTTGTTACCTTGTCTTCCTAGCGATGTCTCATGGAGATGATCTCTTGTGGCTAAGAGCCGATCAAGAGCATATTTTGAGATATTCAGTGTTTTCTCAATCTTGTTTTTTAATTTGTTTTAAGTTATATCTATCACGATCCTTACGCTTTATTGTTCTCTTTTTTTTATTAATTTTTCACTCCATCTCACATCAACTCTTTTTATCGTCCGATACTCATAAACAATGGCAGAGTCCGGAAAGCTTCCCAACTTGGCATCAGATGCCGTTTTAAAGCAATCAGCACCAGTGCCTGACTCGTTTGAAGAAGTTAGCGGCATCGATTATTCCAAAGACAATGCATACAATATGCATGCTAAAGACTTGATCTCATCAATGTCAAAAATGGGATTTCAAGCCAGTTCTTTATCACAAGCGTGTAAAATAATCGATGAGATGAGAACTTGGAGAGGTAAACACAAGTCTGAACTTGAAGAGCATAAACAAGGTGGAGAATTTGATGACGATGGATTTCAAAAGACAACGATATTTATGGGGTATACGTCGAATTTGATTTCAAGTGGCTTGAGAGATACATTGCGTTATTTGGTTCAACATAAAATGGTTAGTGCAATTGTTGCCACTGCTGGTGGTGTTGAAGAAGATTTGATAAAGTGTTTGGCACCTACATACATGGGAGATTATACATTACCAGGCAAAGGATTACGAGACCAGGGAATGAATAGAATCGGTAACTTGCTAGTGCCTAATGATAACTATTGCAAGTTTGAGGAATGGATAGTGCCTATACTTGACCAGATTTTACATGAACAACAAGAAGAGTTGGCCAAGGAAGGTACAAATGCATTTGATGCCGACTCGAAGGCCAACTGGACCCCTTCAAGACTCATTGATAGACTAGGCAAGGAAATCAATGATGAAAGTTCAGTACTCTACTGGGCTCACAAGAACCAGATCCCCATTTTTTGCCCAGCTCTAACTGATGGATCCATTGGTGATATGTTGTTTTTCCACACATTCAAAGCTTCGCCACAACAATTGCGTTTAGATATTGTTGCTGATATTAGAAAAATCAATTCAATGTCAATGGAGGCATCAAAAGCGGGCATGCTCATATTAGGAGGAGGCTTGATTAAGCATCATATCTGCAATGCATGTTTAATGAGAAACGGTGCTGATTACGCAGTCTACATCAATACAGGTCAGGAGTTTGACGGGTCCGATGCCGGAGCAAGGCCTGATGAAGCTATTAGCTGGGGTAAGATCAAAGCTGATGCAAAGTCAGTCAAAGTATATGCTGACGTGAGTTTAGTTCTTCCATTGATTGTTGCCGCCACATTTGCTAGTGAAAAACCAAAAATGGTTGCATAAGAGTTGGTGCCATTTCAGGAGCAGAGTAGTCAAAAGAAAACAGCGCATTTCTGTACAGTTATTAGATCATCTTTGTATATAGAAGTTTGATAGATCGCAGTATAATCTTTTTGAAGAAAAAGCCACATAATTGTCAATTGGCAGTATTCTGGAAATTGGAGCAGCTTTAAACTACTGTTATATTTTACTACTTCACTGTTCAATGTAGAAGGGATACACAATACCCACTTGCAACTATTACTTTTAATGTTAACGAAGTTGAAAGAAATGAAAATTAATAAACCACAATATCGAAAGTGAGTGAAAAGCCGAAAAAAAAAAAGATTTGGTCCTTAACGTCATCATCTGATTAACTAAAAGGGAAGAACCATAGTTTGATACTTGATTTGAATATATATACTGGCATTATAATTCAGCAAGATGGGTAAGTTCCTCCACTAGACCACACATTGATGGATTATATAATTAAAGAGTTTATTTTTACTAACCAATCACTTCAGCCCCACCCAAGAAGATGAGTTTGCAGGATTTTCTCCAGGACGAAAGTATGTATTCAGCTGTTGAATGAAGTCACAGGTTGTGGTACTAACGTAATCTACTAGCTTTTGGCGGATCATGGGCAGATATAGATGTCGACATGGCATCGATCTCCGTCCCAATTGAGAATCTGTATGGTTATGATGATGGGTATTCTAGAGGTGGTGGGTACCACGAACACAGCACATTGGGACCTCCATATATTGTCAAATTAGTCAATTTGCCTGTCACAGCCAACGACGCATTTGTTCAAGATTTATTTCAGAGTAGATTTACCCCTTTCGTCAAATTTAAGATCTTAACAGATCCATCATCAAACATCTTGGAAACCCACGTTATTAAACAAGTTGCATTTGTTGAGTTGGAATCAGCACAAGATGCAGCAAAGGTGCTCAAGTGGCACGACTTATATTACAAGGGCAACAGACGAGTTATTGTCGAGGTGGCCGATTTTAATGACTTTCATTATTGTATTCAGTTTAACCAAGAGCATCATGAGGAAATACAACATATCCAGCATGACTTTATTGCTCAAAAGCAACAGCAAAAACAACCCAGACATATGGCTCTACTCGATGAATTGGACCTGGAAAGGGGTGGGTTTAACCAAGGCCGTGGATTCCGTCAACAACAGCCACCACCACACTCACGTCCATTACAGAATCATCATCAGCCATACGCACTGTCATTTCATGGTGGTTCAGGTGCTGGTGCTGGTGGGTTCACTCCAAAGTCACCCGAAAAACATCACGTACCAATGCATAACAGGCAACCGTCATTTGATACCCAATTTCCTGCTCACAAGCCTTTTCATGGTCTAGCAAGCGGAAATGCACCGCCACTCCACCAACAAGAATCAGGACAATCTGTACCCACCCAACCTTCCAAACCTAAAGCCAATCCATTTGGAGGTGCTAAACCAGTGGATACAGTTGCGCGTCAGCAAGAGATTGAGAAGAAGTTGATAAATCTAAATCAAACTACAGTGCAAACACTTGGTGATGATCCAAATGTTGATGTTAACGATGTTATTAAAAAGTTTCATGAAACAGCATCACCACACCAGAAAAGGAGTGAGCTTTCGCATGGACGTAGACAGTCAAATACAGAGAGGAGATCACTGGTTTCTATATTAAGGAGAGGCTCACAGGATCAACAACAACAACAACAACAACAGCAGCAGCAGCAGCATCAGCAGACTATTCCAGTCCATCCCCAACCTCAACAAGCAGCTTCAAACTTGACAACTGCTTCACAACCACTGGAAAACCTCGGTTGGGCAAATAACACGGGTAAATCATTAGCACAGTTATTAAGCGAACGTTCAGATTTTGTGGCTAGTTCACCTACTGGTGGAAAAAATACACCGCCAACCCCAACAGTAAAACCACCTGTAATACTTAAAAAGAAGACATTATCATCACCTCCCGCTGTTAAGCTTGATCTCACAGTAAAGGAATTCGCTGTCGAAGCAGAGCTGCCAGCGGCTATTTTAAACGATGGCAAAGCAAAAGCATCAACATATGCACCTTCTTATAAATCACACCCACAGCAAGGGCGTCCACCAAATGAATCAAATAAAAAAGGGCAACAGGGATTTTCAAAGGAAGTCAATCACAAGAGCCCCTCTTATCAAAGGCCAATACGGCAAAAACGTGACTCCTCAGATCCCGACAGGCCAAACTTTAAGAAGCTTTTTGAAGATTTATCGTTAGGAGAGCCAGATTCGGTACAACAAAATTTGTATCAGAGGCAATCAGGATGGCACAGTGCTCCAAGGGGTAGAGGCAGAGGAAGGGGTGCATATGGAGGTATACGAAGAGGCAGCCGCAATGACAAATATTACGAAAACGATCGTACCGAAGTTGAAACAAGAGAGCCATTGGTACACTCACTTGAGGATGAGATTAGTTTCAATACTTCAATTGATGGTGTTTCTGAATCAACCCAAACTACTGAGAGTGACATTCCTAGGAAGTTCAGGAAACAGCCGCTGTCGCAACCACAACACAAACAAGCTTATCTGGCTTCCACACCATCTATTTCACCAGGAGTGGCTGATGAAGCTACAATTGGTGGCAAGACTAGAGCAGTATCTGCTAATGCAACTACTAAATCGACAAACATAAATACAGCAGCTACTCCGTGTGCAACTACTGGTGCTTCCACCACACCACCCAAATCCACAAATGAGCCTGCAACAGCATATCCGATTGCAACGGATGAAGCAACAACAACAACTGAAGCAGAAGCAGAGCAGAAGCATGTGCCTTTAGCAGATCACTCCACATCCCATGGAGAATACGATCCACTGTTGTCATCTTCAACTAGAGGTAGGGGTGGACATGGTAGAGGAAGAGGAAGAGGCAGAGGCAGGGGAAGAGGTCGTGGAAGAGGAGGCAGGGGTGGCGCATCTGGTGGCTTCAATGCTTCTGACCGTACATATATAACAACCCCCAAGCCATCGGCTGTTGGTTCTACATCTGAGGCGTGAAAGATTCAAGAGAACGTAAATATAATGTAATTATGAGATATCCATGGCAAAATATGGCTCTCCTCTTTTGTAAATCTCTAGTGTGTCACCCTTGGCTGTACGTCATAAATTAAATATTACCCTTAAGTGCATTTAATTAACTGAATAATAATGAAACTAGCCTATATAAGTCCACTATCTTTCAATGTATTTTCCATAATTGTCTCCTTAACAGCAGCCATAACCAATTGAATATTACTCGTATCAGTAGCCTGAGTCACATGAGGATAGATATTTAATCCTGAACGGTTAACCTGGTTAAATCTCCATAAAATATACTTTGCTGCCTTATTAATATTGTTACCACCGGTATAATCAGGGAAATGGGTTTCCAAAGGTGAATATTGCAATTTTTCAGCAAATACATCAATCTTGTTCAAAAACAATACAACGCTGGTCCTAGCAAACCATCGCGAATTCACAACGGAATCAAATAATGCAATGCTCTCTTCTAATCGGTTTTGATTATTTTCCTCCAATAGTACTTGATCGTATTCTGAGAGTGAGACACAGAAAATGATTAATGTGACATTATCAAAACAGTGAATCCACTTTTTACGTTCTGATCGCTGTCCACCGACGTCAAACATGTGGATGTGGAAGTTGTTACCCATGTCAAATGTGAAATCAAATATACCTGATGTCTTTTTTCGAGTACGCAACACATCGGTTGTTGATGGAATATAATCGGGTTGAGCAATTCTTTTCAAATTTGTCATGAAATATTCTGTCGAGTCAATAAGATAAAATTGTCCTTGTTTGTGAATCATAAAGTCCCTAACTTCGGGTGTGTTGTAAATTTGTTCAATCTTTTCTGCTATAGATTGATCAAATACTGCATCATTGGATCCGTCTAGGAGGATCTCATAATCCAACACTTCATTTAGAGAGTCGTAATCAAGCACATGCTTGCGCCAAGTGCCATTCACAACTTCAGTTTGATCTTGTGCATCTGAGGTGGTAGTAGCAGTTCCGTCGATGCCGTCTTCTCCTTTAGGCTTGATTAGCTCCGGATCTAAATCGATAATAGCATTAATAACATTCTTTATGCAATCCATTACATTCTTGTAAATAAATGGCTTGTATTCGTACAATTCCTCCTGGGTATATCCATTTTGATGTAAAATTTTCATTTGCTTGACAATTGTCGACTTACCACTTTCTCCAGATCCTAAAAGTAGCACTTTAACTTCGTGTTCGGTATTTGATTTTGCTGCCGCATCAACGGGATTCATGGCTTGATCCATTGTGCCATTACCACCATTGATGGTTGTTTCTGTACCGTTGGTTACGCCATTGGACAGGCCCATTTGCTTCTCATTAGCCAGGCCAAATGCTGATTGCCCGTTATTATCTAGAGTAGAGTTGTTTGATTTCTCATGATCACTGATTGATCCAGTCAGATGCTGCTGGTGCTGCTGGTGCTGGTGCTGTTGACTTGGATGTAGACTCGACGACTGGGGCTGTTGGGACTGCTGTGAAGTTTGTTGCTTCTTATTTACAGCTTGTGTTTGTTCTTGTCGTTTTGCCTGTGTTGAAATAGCTGGTTTGGATGTATTATTTACTTGTGAAGTGTCCTTGGAAGTACATGAACCCATGATCAATTGCTATTTTTAGAATATATTTGTGGTTTTAGGTGTAATAGAAAAACGAAGGTGATTAATTTGTTGGCGGCGGGGGTAAAATCAGTAATGGAAGAATGATCTAATAATGGTAAATGCAAGTTATAGTTGTTGATGATGGATATTGTATCTCTCTCAATGTGTGTGGGGCTTGTAATATCGTACCCTTGGGGGAGGGGGGTAGGGGAGTGTTTTTGGTAAAGTTGTTGTTATTTTTTTTGTTTTGTTTGAGAAGGTGATGGATTTCCGTTCGTTATGTCTTTCCCCTTTCTTTTCTCCCTTTTCTTTATTTAAATTAAAAATTAAAACACCAAAAAAACCCTCCTGTTATCTCCGAGGTATTATTATATGCAAAAATAAAATAATCACAAGTGAATGATATGCAATTTCTGGTCATCACCTGGTTCATTTGTGATCATTAGATACAACAGATATTGAAATTTACCTCCTAAAACAAAGACAATACCTGAGTTATTGAAATTTGCCTGTAACGCAGGCGAAGGATACATTATCACTGTTTTCTAAACTTTTGACCACAAAAGTGTTTCTAAAACTCCTCTAAATGACGCAGTATCCAGCCCAGATACTAGCAAGCACCAGTGTATCATATACATAAGGAGATAAGTTAGAAATAAGGAATATATTCATTGGTGTATATACAGTAGAGCAACTTTAAGTAAAAGTTGCAACAATATCTACCAATTGACCCATATTCTGATATGCCAAAACAACTCTCTGTCTTCAGTCAAGTTGAAAACTTGCACACGGGGTAGTCCAATTTTTCTAATTCCCAAAGTCCGTTATCATTTAGCCCAATATCGAAACAGTTGTCATCAATATATTTCATAAATAAACACTGACAATCTAGTGCTGTATCATTATAGACCAATGGTGAAGGAGGATTGGCCAACAAAGCAGTGTCAGCAGCACATGATGACACTTTACTAGTAAATAAAACTTCGGTTTGTTTCATACATTCAACCACTTGCTTACCGTAAAGCTTACTATATTGAAAAGTATAGGGAAATTGTTGTTGGTCTTGTATTGTAGTTGTAGCATTGGAGAAAATGGATGAGGGCTGATCTGACGATGGGGGATATGGCAGGTAGTTGGATGTATCTATGAATAAAGATGATACAATGGGACTAAAAGTAACCGCAACAAGATACGATCTCATTGTCATAATGATGTTTCAAACACCTGTTCGATATGGTACATTCTGGTAAATAAAAAAAATAATACACAACTAATATTAGTAATTTATTGATATTCCTATCTGCCTATGTTTTGCCAGTTAGTCCATCTATGTGTATATCAGGCGACACTTTTTCACTTCCACCAGTTCCAGTACCAGTTTCCCGTGCTACACTCTCAACAGTATCGCCAACACTATTTGCAATGGCATCATTCCCATTATTCACTTTCAGTTTACTGGCAGCCAATTCAGCATCTTCCTCCTCTTTTATTCTTTTCCTTTCTTCCCTTCTTCTCTTTTTAGTTTCAAATTCATGCCATTCACCTTTCAAGTCCTTGAGAAATGTCAATGGTTCTGGCAACGGTTCTCTTGTAAAATAATCATCCTTCAATGCTTCATGAGCTGTTGGCCTATGCCGAGGATTCAATGCCAACAACTTTTCTGCCAACTTGAATGCCTTTGATGTCATTATATGTTCATATTTTTCCTCAAACTTGGAAGCAATGTTGATTTTTGGTTTCAACATTTCAAACCAAGGTAGTTTATCAATTTGTGGCCATGATTCCAACGTGGGAGTTCCCAATATATTGAAAATTTTGCTCAATTGACTGATTTCATCCATACCTCTGAAAGCTGCCATCTTGGAATACAATTCAATTAGCAAACACCCAACACCCCATATGTCCACCTCACGTCCATAATCAGTAGCACCTAGCAATATTTCTGGTGGTCGATACCATATTGTTATCACTCTATTGGTAAAATCAGCAACTTCACCCTCGCCCAATATCTTCATTGTTCTTGCTAATCCAAAGTCAGCAATTTTTAAATTACCCAAATTATCCAACAATATGTTCGACCCTTTAATATCTCGATGAATTATTCTCTTTTCATGGAGATAATCCAACCCTTCCATCAATTGTTTAAAAATGTATTTGCGATGACTTTCTTGTAGCTGCAAGTCCGGATGTGTAAGCAATCCAGTTAAATCGTGGTCCATATAATCGAAAACCATATAAATTTGATTGTGTTCAACCATCATTTCCAATAATCCAACGATATTAGGGTGATCAAATGATTGTAGTAGTTTAATTTCACGTATGGCAGTGATAGGGAACCCTTCACGTTCGCTTTCTAGTCGCAATTTCTTTACTGCTACATACTCATTAGTTATAGAATTTTTTGCCTTGTATACTTTGCCGTATGTACCTTCTCCAACTTGCTGTACTCGTTCATAAATTGCACTATCCCGCAGCTCCTTTATAGAATATATCTGATTAAGAGTTAGGGTTGGCTCCACTTCACGCTTGGGGGCATTAGGAACATACGAGCTTCGACCAGACCCGGCTCCATAATCTCGCTTCTTGTTATTAAAATCACGCCTCTTTTTAAAGCTCGAGGGTCCTGATGGAAGTGGCCGTTTCGTACCTGTACTAAAGTTTGATGATTGATATGACCTGCCTGCTGGTCCTGATGGTCTAATTGGCGATTTTGGGTGTGATGCGGACGAAGAAGGTGGCGGTGGTGTTGAATGTTGTTGTTGTTGCCTGCGAGGTCCTGCTGGTGGACCATTTCTATAACTCGGCCTGTACTCATCACGTTCACGGTACCCCTGTCTCTGCCTTGAGGGTCCCGATGGCGGCGGTGCATGCTGGCGAGGGCCCGTGGGTCTATTCGACATGGTGAGTTAACTGAAGGAAATGTGTACGTGTGTGTGTGTGTGGTAAACTTTGCAATTGATACTTTTGTTTGAAAAAGAATGCCAAATACGATGGAAGAAGAAAAAAAAAAAATTAAGTTGGCACACTACAATAAAGAAAAATGAAGAAATGGTCAATCCAGAACGTAGCGCTTGATGGTATAATACATCTGATAATGTAACTCTAAAGGTAGAATTTCCTCCATAATCAGCAGTGAGAAGCAACGTTGAAGAGACAATGGAAACATAGAATCAACTAAGATAATAGACCTTCCTTCGTCTATTGGCGACGAGAGAAGGGAGCGAAAGAACAACCGGATTGAATGCCTGTCTTCTGGTTTCACGCATACGCGTGAAGCTTTTCCACCCCACTTTTTGAACAACTTCTTCCCAAAATCCTTACCTCCTTCCCCTCTCTCCAATTGAACCATTATCTCCAACTACAAACCACACCATGCCACACTAAGCAGATCATTCTCTTCATTGCGACAATACAATCTACGACATCTTCTCTTTGGCCTAACTAACTCTTAATGTATAATTACAAAGTCGTGTACTGACGTCAAACTGATTATCACCAAGAAAAGAAGATTAAACCACGCAACACACACACTATCGAACGCCCCCCATTCTTTATCAACGTGTAAATTTGCACAACCATCACAGATACTCATTCCCGACAAACAACGTCATCCCCCTACCTCACTCCACTCATCTTCAACAACAAAAGGAAAAAGAGTAAAAATAAAAAATGATTGGCAGATTAGCACACATTGGATTTGATTTAGTTTTAATCAGTGGGTTTCTCGCAGGTATGAAACGCGCTACAGGTGTACAACCAAACTTAGACTTGATTGAAAATAAAGAAATCAAGACTTATGCAGGCAAGTATTTGGGACTAGGTGAACTGGTTTTAGATTCAAGTGCAGCATTCTTGGGCAGTAGTCAATTCTTTACTAGAAAATAGAGAAACCCAGGTGAAGGAGATATCATCACCAATTGGATGCTGCATGTGTGTATATATATATCAATATTAAATAAATGTAATTAACAGAGCTTTTTACCTCTTCTTTTTATTATTATTCAAGAAAAAAAACTATAGAATATACTGAAACATATGCCCATCTATCCTCTCTACTCAACAGTCACCGATTTGGCCAAATTACGAGGGAAATCAACATCAATGCCCCTATTCACAGCCAACCAATAACTGATCAATTGCACAGGGATCACATTCAACAACCCTTGTAAACAGTCAACTGTTTGTGGCACTTCCAAAGTAGTATGAACTTTATCATTGGAAATAATAGCATCACCCTCATTACAGACAACAATTGGTCTACCATCACGAGCAGTAACTTGTTCAATTGCCGACATGGTTTTAGGGAAAAGGGAATCACGCGTTGCAAATGCGATTATGGGTAATTTATCATCAACCAAGGCCAAGACCCCATGTTTCAATTCTCCAGCCAATACACCCTCCGAATGCATGTATGAAATTTCTTTAATTTTTAATGCACCTTCCAAAGCAGTAGCAAATTGATATCCTCTACCTAATAACAACAACGATTTTTGATCATTTAAATCATCATTGCACAATTTTTTAATCTTGTCTTCCAATTTCAAAACTTGCTTAATTTGATCCGGGATTTTTTGCAATCCTTGTATAATTTCTTCATGTCTACCTGCTCTTGAAATTGAATCGTTTGATAATGAAAGGGCAAACATGACAAGGGCAATATATTGTGAAGTGTAAGCTTTGGTAGAAGCAACACCAATTTCAGGTCCAGCATTAATATGGACACCACAATGAGTTTGTCTTGACATTGATGAACCTACCGAATTGACAATACCAACGGTCAATGCTCCTCTTTCTAAACAATATTGCAATGCCAATATAGAATCAGCAGTTTCACCCGATTGCGAAACAAAAACACAGGTATCGTCACGGAAAACTGGGGATCTTCTATCAAGGAAATCACTGGCTAATTCAACACTAACGGGGATTTCCGTCAATTCTTCAAAAATCGATCTTGTAGCTAAACATGAATGATATGAAGTACCACAAGCAATCATGATAATTCTTCTACATCTTCTGATTGTCGGTAACCATGCCTTTAATCCACCCAAGGTCACTGTATTGTTTTCAAAATCAATTCTGCCTCTCATGGTGTTGAAAGTTGAGTCGGGTTGTTCAAAGATTTCCTTTTGCATAAAATGTTTAAAGGGGCCCTTCATAATTTCATTCAACTCCATTTCTAAAGTTTGTATTGGTCTAACGGTTGATTCACCAGCACTCTTTGTTGAAGCTCTATGAATATGCAACTCACCATCATAAATATGAGCAATATCATCATCTTCTAAAAACAACACTTTTTTGGTGTGTTGCACAACTGAAGCTGGATCTGAACTCAAAAAGAATTCAACTGGTGTTGGCAAATCATCTTCAGAAAGAAAAGCTCTAGATTGTGAAGTTCTCAAATTTTGTTCACCAGGAGCAACAGGTATAAAACCCAAATCTTGGGCAGTAGCACCATTAGGTCCATTCAACGATGACAAAGTTTGACCAATTTGTTGTTGAGCCACTGCAGCCGATGCATTGTTTTCAAATTCAACATCAACAAAATCAACTTTCAATTTCCTATCAGTTTTGACACCAACCAACAAAGGCGAACCTTTTCTCGTACCACAAACTTCTCCTGGGTAATGGAATGATTTGACTAATAAACCATATGAACCTTCCAATTCATGCAATACTTGTTTGGTCAATTCATTGAAATCAGGGGAAACACCTGCTTTCAAGTTTAAATCATAGAAATGTTTAAATAATTTGGCAATACATTCAGTATCAGTTTCACTTTCGAATTGATGTCCCTTTGATAACAAGTACTCTCTCAATGCGGCGAAATTGGTGATGATACCATTATGAACAACGATAAACTCACCTTTGGCTGCATCTGATCTATGAGGATGGCAATTCTGCTCTTTTGGTTGACCATGTGTTGCCCATCGAGTATGAGCAATTCCAGCATGATTATCAAAAACATCGCTTCTATCAATCTTGTCATCAGCAACTTTTTGTCTCAAGACCTTAACTTTTCCGGGACATTTGACAATAATGTTGCTCATAATTTCGCCATTGTCACCGTCATTGAACAATTTCCCATCAACGGCAAATCCAGCAGAATCATAACCTCTATATTCCAATCTTTGCAATCCTTCGATAAGAGTATCAACAATTTCACCTCTGTTCTTGTCGACTAAGAAGTTAACGTATCCGAATATACCACTAGACAAATGTTGAAGTTAGTATTTCAAGACTGGTGTGAGTTGGCGAAAACCAAAAAAATAAAAAAGGGCCTTAAAGGTGATACATACCACATGAATGGAGAATAACTGTTTGTAAAGCGAATGTAACTGTAAGCGTGAGATATACCAAAAGGTCTGACTGAGAAACTAATAAGTTGAAGAGTAGTAACTAAGAAATGATCTTTTTGTTGAGGATATATTTGAATATATATGGATATAAATAGAACAAATTTTTTTTGATGTGTTGTTGTTGTTGTTGTTGTTAATTGTTAAGTTTTGTGTTTTACGTGTAACTCACCTGCATATTAAATTTCATCTACATTATTGCACGTTGCAGAACTATAACTACACACATGTCAAAGAAGCTAAAGGCGGGTCTAGTTTCCATTGGTAGAAAATTACTACATCTGGTACTACTGTATCTATCCTTGCATAACCAATGTTGTGCGCAATCAGCTTCTGCTGAAGATAGTTGAGATTACCCTCCTTTAAATTATTCAAGTAAAAAAAAACAATTTCCAAATGGTAGATCAATCACCTTTCCTAAAATGGAATAAATCAAAACAACGGAAAACAAAATATAAACCATCATCAATTTATCATCAATCACAACACATGCTTTACTACAAATGCTAAAAGGAAAACAACCCCTAATCATCTTTGAAGCAGTTGTTTTACTCTGATAATGAGCACAGTAGTATTTACGATTAGGAAACTATTCTGTTTCAGTAAACAAGCCACCAAACACACCCATTCTTCTTTGTCGTAAAACCTATTCAAAACTAAGCCTTACTCATCTCCCTTCCTCCCCACTCGCAACCCACACGTTTCAGCCAACTACAGAAAGCCCTCACCACCACAAGTACATTCTAGAAAAGAACAAAAAAAAAAAAAAGAAAAGAATGTTCTACGAACAATTGTACTTTTTGTGTGTATAGATACAACCATCATCTTTGCACCACCATTCTATTTTATTCCTGTTTTCCAGAAAGTCAAGGCGGGTTGAACTTAACTGAAATTGAAGCCTCTCTCGTTTGCCCTTCATATTTAAAGTTATTCCTCGGCCATGCCCGCACGAATCTCGGGTCGATGTTTGTCTCAAGAACGATCTTTTTTTTTCCCCTTCTCTTGTTCGAGCCGAGCTTTCTATTACAAAAACTCCGAAAGGGAGAATCAGTGTAAAACATGACACGCTTTTGCAGAAGAAGAAAATGGACGAAAAAGTGTAGATCTTTTATTGTCGCAAGACTGATCTATTGAAGACAATGTTTCACTATAGAATCCTTCTATTGTTTGAATAGGACCCTTAAATTGTTGTCAACTAAATTTTCTATTAAAACGTAATATCAAAACTACATATTTCCAGAATGGTCTTTATCTTCATAAATAATCTTCTTCTTTTCTATATAAAATCCACTTCCACCACACTTCTCAACATAATCACTGCCTTATCCCCTCCATTTCCTTTTCCTCTTCTTTTTCCTTTTCCTTTCCCTTTTTACCATCATAGTCCTTCCCCTTATCCTCATAAATTAGCGCCACCCCCTGGTGGTCCAAAATTACCAAAGGAAGAACCACCACTACCATACCCCCCAAAATTACCACGACCACCAGAGCCAGGACCTCTAAAATTCAGAGGTAAACCTTGTCCCAAGTTATCCAAGTTATCCTCTGAATACGGATCACTATATCTTGCACCTGGTGGAACACCTTTTCTACCACCCACACCTTGATGTTGTCCTTGACCAAATATTGGATGGTCTGGTGTTGGATGCATACCGCCACCAGCACCGCCGCCGCCAAAATTACCACCAACACCGCCTTGTGGAGCTTGTAAAGGATCTATATATCCTTGTAATGTAGGATTAGAAGGGATACCAGGAGGATTTAAATCATCACTGCCAATTGGTGGGAAGTGAGTAGATTGACCCAATGTATCCCTCACTGGTGGTCCTCTATCTTTAATTTGATATTCGTCTTCAAACTTGGGCATATCATCTGGCTGTCTAGTAAACGTAGGATTAGCTTCTCCACCTCCCTCTGCCGATGGGTTACCACCAGCAAATGTCGGATTAGTTGGTTGATAAGGAACTTCAGGTGTTGGTGACCGAGCAAAATTACTTTCAGTGTCTGTATGTTGTTCCTCAACTATTGGACCACCACTTTGTTTATTAGGATGAGCAAAAATCGAGCTAACTTTTTCATTATCAATGATATATCTAAATTTAGTGTTGAACTTCTCAACCAAGTCTTGAGGCAAGTTTGATTCGTCTTTAATGGGGAAGGTAATTTCATCCAAATCAAACCATTCCCAATTAATCAAGGCATTGTCCAACCTTCCATCAAGGTTTAATAAATTAATCAATGATTGAACTGTACTTATTTCAGTAATACTAACAATTAGGAACTTCTCATTGTTGTAGTATATCTCTGATTGGCTTAGTTTTTGTTCATTGGTTGTTTGCACCAACTTGAAATCTTGGGAGCTGGGGTAAATTGATTCAACGTATTTAGCAACCAAATGAACAGTTAGTTGGAAGTAATTTTGAATTGGCATGCTGGTAGATAGATAGTACTGTATGTATTTAGTGTTGTTAGAAGAAAACGAGTTTTTGATTAAAATGGTTTGCTCTGATTTTTGGCATGTATTGCTAGTCAAAAGCTGTGGCACTAGTTAGTGGTGTTATATATATAGATAAATAGTCTATATACAGTACCATGGAATACCCTGGAAGCAAGATTTGTGGAAAGTGTGCGCAAACTGTTTTGAATGATCACAATTTTGTGACACTAAAGTTTGCTCCCTTTTTAAAATGTCACACTATATGGTTTTACGACACACACTCAACTACATATAGTTAATCACAGTTTAGTTGTTGAAAGGGTTGTTAGAGCTTTCCTCATTATTGGTACCAACAAACGATGCCTACCAAAATGGAACCTGTTCCAAAGTGAATCATCCTTATGGACAGAGAACATTGCGCTGCATAAGGGAACCAAAGAAGAAAATGCTTTAGATAAAGTAGTTAATCCTTAAAAATAAGGACCTTCCCCTTCTCTTTCGGCTATAATAGCTGTAATGTTACAAGTTAATTAGGGTTGATTTGAGTTCTGCAATGTACAAAGACCACAAGAGAAGAAGAAGAAGAAGACGTCCAAAAAGCCATTGGTTATGTGGTTAGCTGTTCGAAATAAAGATGTTTGGATTTTCCACATGCCAATTGGAATCTCATCCATTCTCTTGTCGGGTTCCTACTTATCACTGGTGAAGGTACTCCTCGTCTATAAATGATCCACATCAACTGTAGCATTTTTTTATGCACAGTTTAGACGCACACGCGCTTATTAGATATATTTATGAATTGGTTAGATAAGAGTTATAATAGACCACTACAACAGTGCCTAAATTAATTGATCATAACCACTTCTTTCTTTTATAGCATTCCCCAACTCCGTCAAATGTTTTGCTTGTTGAGGTGTGTTGTTACTTGTGATTATTCGCAAACTGAGCTAAGAGATAGAGACGGAATTCCATGAGAGATTAATACTTTCAACAACTTCGCCCCCGTCTATTCTCTTGACTAGATGGTTTGCTTTATTTTAGTTTAATAGCGCGAGGTACCGGTTGGGCTGTCTGTTATTCGAAGTGTGGTGCTGGTGCTTCTGTTTCAGTCAATTTTAAAACACCAATCAGAGAAAATCAGACAACAACAACAGAACAAAAAAAAAAGGCCAACACAACAAAAAACAAGGAGACTTTTTAAGCACAGAGTCTTAGTTAGATAGTGTACAAATTAAATATTTGTTGATGGATATCATTGTACACTTCTCTTCTTTTGCAAATTGTATATATAAAACTAATCTCAATCAACGTAATACTACAGTACACATATTCAATCTACTTTTGTTTTCAAAAACAATCTCTATACGCTTTTTAATTTTCCAGTTCTTTACTTTTTTTTCGGGTTAATAAAAATTTTTTTTTTCTTTCTTTTCCAATTTCAACTTCAATTTCAATTTCAACTTCGAAATTCAAAAAAGTAAAAGCAAACTTAACTTAACTTAACTTAACTTAACTTGACTTCAGATACACATACATACACCACTCTAGTCAGTCAAATCAAACAGACAGACTACGACATACACATACCTACTCACCAAATATGACTACTACTGTCCCCATAATTTACTCATTCCCTGAGTTTCTTGGAGTCGCAGAAGCAGTGGCAGACTTGATCATTTCATCTCAGAATCAAACTTTATACAACACCACCGACCTAAAACAAATTGCTTTAATTAAAGCAGGCCAAGTAAAACGTCCATCTGTCAATAAAACAAACAGTTCACTTTCAATTTCTCTTAATCAGAGTCACAATGGCAATGGCAACGGCAATGGATCCACCGGCAGTAGTGGTGCCACACTAAGTGCTAGCAATAGTCAATCGACGGCCAACTTGAATCCAGTTACACCATCAGCATCATCAACCAACTTGGCTGCCAACAATAAGATCAAAAAGGAAAAGAAAATCTTGAAGAAGCAAGAGATTAGGTTCAAGATTGCCATTAGTGGTGGTTCCTTAATTAAAATTTTAAATCAAGGATTATTAACTAGACAAGAATTTATTGAATGGGATAAATGGGACATCTATTTTGCTGACGAAAGATTAGTACCGTTTGACAGTCCCGATTCTAATTATGGACAAGCCAAGTTGGAAATATTTGATCATATAAAGGGAGATAAACAACCACGAATTTTTCACATCGATGAGTCGTTAATTGACGACCCGCAAGAAGCTGCCGATGATTATGAAAAGCAATTGATACAACAATTTGCCAAAAAGGACTCGGTCAAATTGCCCATGTTTGATTTATTATTATTGGGTTGTGCACCCGATGGCCATATTGCTTCATTGTTCCCCAACCATGGCGAAAGTTTGAGAGAAAAGTTGGCTTGGTGTATACCAGTATCAAATGCTCCGCTGGGTCCATCAAACAGAATCACTTTGTCCATACCGGTTATATGCCATGCTGCCAGAGTTGCTTTTGTTGTTGAAGGATTAACTAAAGCCCCCATTATCAAGACCATAATGGAAAGACCGGAAAAGGGATTACCCAGCTCAATTGTGAATGAGGGAGCTGCTGGTAGAGTGAGTTGGTTTGTTGATGACGCTGCATTGAATGATTTATTTGATATTACCAAGAAGAAGTATAAATATCTATCAATCCCTGAACCAATTCACTGAAAAAGGGAATGTAAAGAGAAACAGCATGAGGTGATTTTCAATGCGTCGATGGATATTGGCTTATCTTGGAATGTTCAAGCTTTATGAATTTGTTGTTGGGAATCCTCCAAGGCATACATGCCATCTAGCGTCAACTGTAGGCAACATTCAACAACCGCGCGTCAGCAAGCACACACACGTACACTTACATATTTACACTGGTCTGAGCATAAGAACATCCCATACAGCGAAACCAATATATCTTGATGCTTTATTCGATGTGTTTGTTCACTGATTTATTATTAATTGGTGTTTTATATAATCGCCATTTTATTATCCTCCTACTGTCATTACATATACTATTTACTACTAGTAGTCTTGTATAGTTTTTAGGCTTACTTTTTTATTCAAATGGAAAATTGTATTTGAAACTGGAGACTTATATATCAAGTGTATATTCCAAGAGCTTTTAATCTTTGTAAATTGCATCTTGTTTACACATCCTTAATAATATATTTATCAGGTGCCCTCATGGCCCATTCAGTCCATGACCCGTCGTACAATTTAACTGGCACGTCAACTTTAACTATATTTTCCAACGCCAATTTCAAAATGCATGCAGTAACACCAGTTCCACACATGACAATTATACCACCAGGGTAAGTAGCATCCAATTTGGTCAAATCAACACCGAGATCTTGAGTTAATATCGATTCTATTTCCTCTTTGGTCTTGTATTCGTTGTTGGCTTCCGGGTTGAGCACTTTAGTGAATGGCAAGTTCTTGGCTGTGGGGATATGGCCCGAACTTAATCCCGGACGAGGCTCTGGGGAAGCTCCTGTGAATCTATCATGCGATCTAGCGTCGAGGATCAAGTACTTAGAAATGTCATTGTTTTCAAGCAATGTTACAATCTCCTCGTACTCAATCACTTCGCGGTCGTAGATTTCTTCATACAGATGAGGCGAGTTAACTTCATTGACTTCACCTGGAACGTTACTCAAGTCAGATGTTTCTTTGTCACTACCCAGTTTAGACACTGTTTGCGATTCAGCTGGGAAATCAAATTTCAAATAATTGGGATAGTTATCCAATAAGTACACTTTACCATGACCCGCCAATTTCAAAGTGAATGCCACTCTTGGACTCAGGAAGTTTCCCACACGATCATAAACTACTAAATTGTCCAGTGAATGAATGCCTAATTCCTGAAATGCTTCATTCATAATCAGCTGCGTTGGTAGCATGTGTGGATAGGGTGAGTCTCTTGCCCATTTATCAACGTCAAAGAACTTGGCTCCTACTTCTGGCCCCAATGTTTTATCTTGTTTGAATTCATCGTAGGCGTTGCGCGGATTGTTGGGCATGAACCAGGTGGCATCAATGGGGATTGTTCGATGTGGTGACGTGGTGGCTGCTTTTTGCAAGCTGCGGAATGCGGAAGGTTTGATTATTGAAATGAATTTGGGAGACGATGACATGGCTATTGTTGGTATTGAGTTGATGCTGGGGTTATTTTTAGAGAGTGAGTTAGTTGGATCTGTTTCTTGTTTTGTGGGGAATGGAATCCAATTGGAATTGAAAGTTGGTACTCAAAGTTTCTACTCGATTCTACCCAATTGATTTATTTGGTAAACGAATCGAGCTATTATGGGGTGAAAGAGGGGGGTGATTCAATTGGGTTTCTTTTTTCCAATCTCTTTTGAACAATACTAGAAAATTGGGGATGACGCCACAATCAGAAAAAAACAGAACGCATCAACAAAAGCTCTATCCAAGGATCAACATTGCCCCTTGATATAAAAACTTTTTTTCTTGACTTTTGCTATCAACAGAGATTTGTACCAACTAAAGTATAACATCCAATTATGAGTTTATTCGTTCTAGGTTCGACTGGGTTAGTCGGCGGCTTTATAATTGAAGCAAGTCTTCAATCAAAAACCTGGAGTAAAGTGACCACACTCACAAGACGCAAACCACAATTTGCCAATAACAACAACATCGATGCTATCGTTGAAACCGACACCACGAAATGGTCCAGCATCATCCAAAATGATGTAAAAACTCAAGCACCGCAAGCTTATATTTCATCGTTTGGAACCACGAGAGCTACAGCAGGATCAGCTGAACAATTTCGCGCTATTGATTATGGAATCAATTACGACGCGGCAAAACTGGCTAAAGAGATTGGCGTCAAGACGTGCATTTTAATTTCAACTATTGGTGCTAATGCCAATTCACCATTTCTCTATTT